ACACAGAGTCCTGACCTCAACCCCATAGAACACCTTTGGGATGAATTAGAGGCGGAGACTGCAAGCCCCTCCCCCAACATCAGTACCTGACCTCACAAATGGTCCAACATTCCCATAGACACACCCCTAAATCTTGTGGACGCCTTCCCAGAAGAGGCGGAGCTGTTGTAGCGACAAAGGGCGGAGCCAACCCAATACTGAACCCTACAGACTAAGACTGGGATGCCATTAGAGTTCATGTGGCGTCCCAATACTAATGGCAATATAATGTATTATAGTAGAACTCATACGACTGTGCAGCGGGGACCTCTGTGCTTTGTCTGCTTACGTATAAAGTTTTATATGACAAACAAAAAAACAAACACGCGGCTCTGTATAGAGTCATTTATTACCCATAATTAGTGTATCAAACATCCAAGAATTAAGGTCGTTCCCACCCCGAAAACCTCCGGAATGGGGGCGGTGTCTGTAGTCCTCGAGGTCACACTCGTAGGGAATCACCCGCAGCTGCGGCCCCGATATCTCGCGTCCTCCATTGCCGCCATCATTGCCGGGGATCAGCGGTCAGGCTGGTCGCAGCCTCGCAGGCCTCCCATAGTTTCCTGGTCACAGCCGGATCCCGAGCCTTCGCCGCGGGAATCTCAATCAGACAATCGCTGTCTACATACTTCCCAGTCAGACCTTCGGCCTCCTCCGACACGGCACAGAATATGGTGCTGACCGCCCCCTCCTCCGCCGTCTGATGGAAGAGAGGGAGTATCTCAGTGATAGTAGGCTCTGATCTCAGTGATAGTAGGAAGTAGGATGTGATCTCAGGGATAGCAGGCTGTGATGTCAGTGATAGTAGGAAGTAGGATGTGATCTCAGGGATAGCAGGCTGTGATGTCAGTGATAGTAGGAAGTAGGATGTGATCTCAGGGATAGCAGGCTGTGATGTCAGTGATAGTAGGAAGTAGGATGTGATCTCAGGGATAGCAGGCTGTGATGTCAGTGATAGTAGGAAGTAGGATGTGATCTCAGGGATAGCAGGCTGTGATGTCAGTGATAGTAGGAAGTAGGATGTGATCTCAGGGATAGCAGGCTGTGATGTCAGTGATAGTAGGAAGTAGGATGTGATCTCAGGGATAGCAGGCTGTGATGTCAGTGATAGTAGGAAGTAGGATGTGATCTCAGGGATAGCAGGCTGTGATGTCAGTGATAGTAGGAAGTAGGATGTGATCTCAGGGATAGCAGGCTGTGATGTCAGTGATAGTAGGAAGTAGGATGTGATCTCAGGGATAGCAGGCTGTGATGTCAGTGATAGTAGGAAGTAGGATGTGATCTCAGGGATAGCAGGCTGTGATGTCAGTGATAGTAGGAAGTAGGATGTGATCTCAGGGATAGCAGGCTGTGATGTCAGTGATAGTAGGAAGTAGGATGTGATCTCAGGGATAGCAGGCTGTGATGTCAGTGATAGTAGGAAGTAGGATGTGATCTCAGGGATAGCAGGCTGTGATGTCAGTGATAGTAGGAAGTAGGATGTGATCTCAGGGATAGCAGGCTGTGATGTCAGTGATAGTAGGAAGTAGGATGTGATCTCAGGGATAGCAGGCTGTGATGTCAGTGATAGTAGGAAGTAGGATGTGATCTCAGGGATAGCAGGCTGTGATGTCAGTGATAGTAGGAAGTAGGATGTGATCTCAGGGATAGCAGGCTGTGATGTCAGTGATAGTAGGAAGTAGGATGTGATCTCAGGGATAGCAGGCTGTGATGTCAGTGATAGTAGGAAGTAGGATGTGATCTCAGGGATAGCAGGCTGTGATGTCAGTGATAGTAGGAAGTAGGATGTGATCTCAGGGATAGCAGGCTGTGATGTCAGTGATAGTAGGAAGTAGGATGTGATCTCAGGGATAGCAGGCTGTGATGTCAGTGATAGTAGGAAGTAGGATGTGATCTCAGGGATAGCAGGCTGTGATGTCAGTGATAGTAGGAAGTAGGATGTGATCTCAGGGATAGCAGGCTGTGATGTCAGTGATAGTAGGAAGTAGGATGTGATCTCAGGGATAGCAGGCTGTGATGTCAGTGATAGTAGGAAGTAGGATGTGATCTCAGGGATAGCAGGCTGTGATGTCAGTGATAGTAGGAAGTAGGATGTGATCTCAGGGATAGCAGGCTGTGATGTCAGTGATAGTAGGAAGTAGGATGTGATCTCAGGGATAGCAGGCTGTGATGTCAGTGATAGTAGGAAGTAGGATGTGATCTCAGGGATAGCAGGCTGTGATGTCAGTGATAGTAGGAAGTAGGATGTGATCTCAGGGATAGCAGGCTGTGATGTCAGTGATAGTAGGAAGTAGGATGTGATCTCAGGGATAGCAGGCTGTGATGTCAGTGATAGTAGGAAGTAGGATGTGATCTCAGGGATAGCAGGCTGTGATGTCAGTGATAGTAGGAAGTAGGATGTGATCTCAGGGATAGCAGGCTGTGATGTCAGTGATAGTAGGAAGTAGGATGTGATCTCAGGGATAGCAGGCTGTGATGTCAGTGATAGTAGGAAGTAGGATGTGATCTCAGGGATAGCAGGCTGTGATGTCAGTGATAGTAGGAAGTAGGATGTGATCTCAGGGATAGCAGGCTGTGATGTCAGTGATAGTAGGAAGTAGGATGTGATCTCAGGGATAGCAGGCTGTGATGTCAGTGATAGTAGGAAGTAGGATGTGATCTCAGGGATAGCAGGCTGTGATGTCAGTGATAGTAGGAAGTAGGATGTGATCTCAGGGATAGCAGGCTGTGATGTCAGTGATAGTAGGAAGTAGGATGTGATCTCAGGGATAGCAGGCTGTGATGTCAGTGATAGTAGGAAGTAGGATGTGATCTCAGGGATAGCAGGCTGTGATGTCAGTGATAGTAGGAAGTAGGATGTGATCTCAGGGATAGCAGGCTGTGATGTCAGTGATAGTAGGAAGTAGGATGTGATCTCAGGGATAGCAGGCTGTGATGTCAGTGATAGTAGGAAGTAGGATGTGATCTCAGGGATAGCAGGCTGTGATGTCAGTGATAGTAGGAAGTAGGATGTGATCTCAGGGATAGCAGGCTGTGATGTCAGTGATAGTAGGAAGTAGGATGTGATCTCAGGGATAGCAGGCTGTGATGTCAGTGATAGTAGGAAGTAGGATGTGATCTCAGGGATAGCAGGCTGTGATGTCAGTGATAGTAGGAAGTAGGATGTGATCTCAGGGATAGCAGGCTGTGATGTCAGTGATAGTAGGAAGTAGGATGTGATCTCAGGGATAGCAGGCTGTGATGTCAGTGATAGTAGGAAGTAGGATGTGATCTCAGGGATAGCAGGCTGTGATGTCAGTGATAGTAGGAAGTAGGATGTGATCTCAGGGATAGCAGGCTGTGATGTCAGTGATAGTAGGAAGTAGGATGTGATCTCAGGGATAGCAGGCTGTGATGTCAGTGATAGTAGGAAGTAGGATGTGATCTCAGGGATAGCAGGCTGTGATGTCAGTGATAGTAGGAAGTAGGATGTGATCTCAGGGATAGCAGGCTGTGATGTCAGTGATAGTAGGAAGTAGGATGTGATCTCAGGGATAGCAGGCTGTGATGTCAGTGATAGTAGGAAGTAGGATGTGATCTCAGGGATAGCAGGCTGTGATGTCAGTGATAGTAGGAAGTAGGATGTGATCTCAGGGATAGCAGGCTGTGATGTCAGTGATAGTAGGAAGTAGGATGTGATCTCAGGGATAGCAGGCTGTGATGTCAGTGATAGTAGGAAGTAGGATGTGATCTCAGGGATAGCAGGCTGTGATGTCAGTGATAGTAGGAAGTAGGATGTGATCTCAGGGATAGCAGGCTGTGATGTCAGTGATAGTAGGAAGTAGGATGTGATCTCAGGGATAGCAGGCTGTGATGTCAGTGATAGTAGGAAGTAGGATGTGATCTCAGGGATAGCAGGCTGTGATGTCAGTGATAGTAGGAAGTAGGATGTGATCTCAGGGATAGCAGGCTGTGATGTCAGTGATAGTAGGAAGTAGGATGTGATCTCAGGGATAGCAGGCTGTGATGTCAGTGATAGTAGGAAGTAGGATGTGATCTCAGGGATAGCAGGCTGTGATGTCAGTGATAGTAGGAAGTAGGATGTGATCTCAGGGATAGCAGGCTGTGATGTCAGTGATAGTAGGAAGTAGGATGTGATCTCAGGGATAGCAGGCTGTGATGTCAGTGATAGTAGGAAGTAGGATGTGATCTCAGGGATAGCAGGCTGTGATGTCAGTGATAGTAGGAAGTAGGATGTGATCTCAGGGATAGCAGGCTGTGATGTCAGTGATAGTAGGAAGTAGGATGTGATCTCAGGGATAGCAGGCTGTGATGTCAGTGATAGTAGGAAGTAGGATGTGATCTCAGGGATAGCAGGCTGTGATGTCAGTGATAGTAGGAAGTAGGATGTGATCTCAGGGATAGCAGGCTGTGATGTCAGTGATAGTAGGAAGTAGGATGTGATCTCAGGGATAGCAGGCTGTGATGTCAGTGATAGTAGGAAGTAGGATGTGATCTCAGGGATAGCAGGCTGTGATGTCAGTGATAGTAGGAAGTAGGATGTGATCTCAGGGATAGCAGGCTGTGATGTCAGTGATAGTAGGAAGTAGGATGTGATCTCAGGGATAGCAGGCTGTGATGTCAGTGATAGTAGGAAGTAGGATGTGATCTCAGGGATAGCAGGCTGTGATGTCAGTGATAGTAGGAAGTAGGATGTGATCTCAGGGATAGCAGGCTGTGATGTCAGTGATAGTAGGAAGTAGGATGTGATCTCAGGGATAGCAGGCTGTGATGTCAGTGATAGTAGGAAGTAGGATGTGATCTCAGGGATAGCAGGCTGTGATGTCAGTGATAGTAGGAAGTAGGATGTGATCTCAGGGATAGCAGGCTGTGATGTCAGTGATAGTAGGAAGTAGGATGTGATCTCAGGGATAGCAGGCTGTGATGTCAGTGATAGTAGGAAGTAGGATGTGATCTCAGGGATAGCAGGCTGTGATGTCAGTGATAGTAGGAAGTAGGATGTGATCTCAGGGATAGCAGGCTGTGATGTCAGTGATAGTAGGAAGTAGGATGTGATCTCAGGGATAGCAGGCTGTGATGTCAGTGATAGTAGGAAGTAGGATGTGATCTCAGGGATAGCAGGCTGTGATGTCAGTGATAGTAGGAAGTAGGATGTGATCTCAGGGATAGCAGGCTGTGATGTCAGTGATAGTAGGAAGTAGGATGTGATCTCAGGGATAGCAGGCTGTGATGTCAGTGATAGTAGGAAGTAGGATGTGATCTCAGGGATAGCAGGCTGTGATGTCAGTGATAGTAGGAAGTAGGATGTGATCTCAGGGATAGCAGGCTGTGATGTCAGTGATAGTAGGAAGTAGGATGTGATCTCAGTGATAGTAGGATGTGATCTCAGTCTTAGTAGGATGTGATCTCAGTGATAGTAGGATGTGATCTCAGTGATAGTAGGATGTGATCTCAGTGATATCTCAGTGATAGTAGTATGTGATCTCACTGATAGTAGGATGTGATCTCAGTGATATCTCAGTGGTAGTAGGATCTGCTCTCAGTGATATGGAGATTAGAGGCTGTACTGACCTTAAAGAAGAAGAACCCGATGATGTTGAAGATGACTCTCATGAGTATGTTGTAGTGGCGCAAGGCCTCCGTCATCACAATGCCGGGATTAACTGTGGTCACCGTCACACCTGCGTTCATATCACACCGTCATTTATAACCACTGACACTTTGTATCAATACAGAATTAGAGTTTTATATCTGCACTCCATGGAGGTCTCTCTGTAGCCATTAGCCACTCCCAGAGGGCTGTGACATGCAATCGGGGGCGGGGCTGTGCTAGAAAATTGACTCTTCCTGCAGTGGTCAAACAATATTTGTTGTTTTTGTGCTTTTTGGCATGTGGCGGAGTGAGGGTGGAGTGAACTGCCACATGTAATTTCCAAACATTTCCCTCAACTACATGTCCCATTATTCATAGTAATCCAGTGACGTCCATAGGAAGTTCTGTTGGCGGTGAGGTCATTTTTCCAGCGTTTAACTCATGACATTGCTCTTCTCCCTATCTACAACTCATCTCCAAGATTCAGGTTTTAACTCACAACATTGCTCTTCTCCCCGTCTACAGCTCACCTCTGGAATCTAGGCTTTAACTCATAACATTGCTCTTTCTTCTCCCCGTCTACAGTTCATCTCTGGAATCTAGGCTTTATCTCATAACATCGCTCTTTCTTTTCCCATGTAGACGGGGAGAAGAGCAATGTTATGGGTGAAAGCCTGGATCTTGGAGATGAGCTGTAGACGGGGAGAAGAGCAATGTTATGAGTTAAACCCTGGAAACATGACCTCACCGCCCACAGAACGTCCTATGGATGTCACTGGATTACTAATGAATAATGGGACATGTAATGTTATGAGTTAAAGGCTGGATCTCGGAGATGAGCTGTAGACGGGGAGAAGAGCAATGTCATGAGTTAAACCCTGGAAAAAGGACCTCACCGCCCACAGAACGTCCTATGGATGTCACTGGATTACTAATGAATAATGGGACATGTAGTTGAGGGAAATGTTTGTAAATTACGTGTGGCAGTTCACTCCACCCTTAGGAGAATTGACCACATACCAATGACATCACAGGTATTAAAATATACTATTTATGCTCAGAATTGGAATATGAAACGTGTGTTAACTCTAGATGGGAAGAAGAGCAAAGTTATGAGTTGAAGCCTGGATCCTCTAGATGAGCTGTAGACGGGGAGAAGAGCAATGTTATGATTTAAAGGCTGGATCCCGGAGATAAGCTGTAGAAGGTGAATAGAGCACTGTTATGAGTTAAGACCTAGATCCTGGAGTTGAGCTTCAACACACCAAGTGGGATCCGATACCATAAATTTAAAATCACCAAAAACTCCTTATTTTGACCTCAATCATTGATTCAAATACATTGTAATGACTGCTGTTTAAGGGGCTCCTCCTGAGTCCCTACACACAGCAGTGGGAATGAGTGCATCCTAAGAGTGTTCATGAATTGGTAAATGCCCTGCTCCCCTCTACATTGGCTGACCACCCTGAGTCCTGTGATAGAAGGAAACTGCTGCTCCCCCTTCTTGGCTTCTGAACCCACAAAACTTCAGGATAATCTAATGTAGGGACAAGCAAAACCGAGAATTCCATCCAGGTCAACTGTCTCAGGTTTGCTAGGACAGTCCCACATCATGGTCTCTGTTCCACCAATGGCCTGTCTGGGGCCGAGTCACGGGTCACAGATATCAGAGGGCCAAGGGCCAGTCCAATCAGAGAGATCCTCTACTACTGAAGGAAGACTGTGACTGCTCCTACAGGGTCATAGATCTGTCTGGCTGCTTCTCACAGGCCCAGCAACTGCCAAGAGACAGCTCTAAAAGGGCCTTCTACTACCAGAAGACCTGTCTTATATTTGTGCTGTTTTGGGGTATCTTGCACCCCTGTTCCTCTCCTAGAATTGAGTTAATCTTAATTGTAGAAGTCTAAAGCGGCTGGAGGCCAACTAAACTTCTCCCCACCATACACCAAGAACCAGACATCAAAGTGGAATTGTTAGCCTGCCACACCACTAAGGGGGTCACTCCACGTCACCCCGAGAGGAGGAGAGCTACAAATAGAGGCGGACCCCGTGTCACTCCCTCGCTGCTGAGAACCCCCGGCAAGAGAGCAACGCCTTGTTCATCCTGCCAGAGAGGGAGTCGCACATGGAAGCGGGTGGTTGTCCTATTGCCCGCATGTGACCTCCAAGTATGACACTTGTGTGACATTAGTCTTAAAGGAACAGTACACACCAGAAGCCCAGCATAGTTCAAGGTCGCTGCAGACCCCCCGAAACAATAATGTTGCTTTGCCTGACTTGGTGCGTGGCGCCGGCTACCTCAGATGATGGAAATTATATCCACCAGGAAGACTCGTAGATCTCAAGGAATTACAAGTGCGTGATGTCATCCCATTTTTCACTCCATTAATGACTCCCCTAACCCATTCCCGGCCCATGGGGGGTTCACTCACCAGTGCTGTTCCTGGTTACTCACTGGTGTTGTTCCCAATCATTGAATGGGGGGTGGGGGGTCACTCACCGGTGCTGTTCCTGGTCCATGGCAGGAAGATTACTCACTGGTGCCGTTACCAACCCATTAAAGGGGGAGGGTCACTTACAGGTGTTGTTCCCAGCCAATGAGAGGAAGGTCACTCACTGGGGTTGTTCCTAACCCTTGTGGGGGTACTCACAGGTGCTGTTCCTGCCCCATGTGGGGGTCACTCACCGGTGCTGTTCCTGGTCCATGGCAGGAAGATTACTTACTGGTGCCTTTCCCAACCCATGAAAGGGGGAGGGTCAATCAGTAGTGCTGTTCCCAACCCAAGGACGGAAGCTCACTCACTGGTGTCGTTCTCAACCCATGGGGGGGTCATTCACTGGTGCCATTCTCGTCCCGTGGAGGAAGGTGATCCGTTCTGGGACCACTGATGGGGTTGTCACTCACCCATGCCGTTCCTGGCTCATCTGGGAGAGATGCAACTTACTGGTGCTGTTCCAGGCACATGGGGAGTCACTCTCTGGTACCATTCATGGCCCATGGTTGGTCACTGACTGATGCCGTTCCTGGCCAACAGGAAGGTCATTCACTGGTGCTTTTCCCAACCCATGGGGGGGAGTTGTCACTCACCGGTCTCGTCCCTGACCCATAGCGGGCTCATTCACTGGTGCTGTTCCCAACCCCAGGGGAAGGGGGGGGAGTTGTCACTCACCGGTCTCGTCCCTGACCCATAGCGGGCTCATTCACTGGTGCTGTTCCCAACCCCAGGGGAAGGGGGGGGAGTTGTCACTCACCGGTCTCGTCCCTGACCCATAGCGGGCTCATTCACTGGTGCTGTTCTCAACCCATGGGGGGGGGGGAGTTGTCACTCACGGGTCTCATCCCCTGACCCAAAGCGGGCTCATTCACTGGTGCTGTTCCCAACCCCAGGGGAAGGGGGGGGAGTTGTCACTCACCGGTCTCGTCCCTGACCCATAGTGTCCCATTCACTGGTGCTGTTCCCAACCCATGGGGGCGGGAGTTGTCACTCACTGGTCTCGTCCCTGACCCATAGGGGCCCATTCACTGCTGCTGTTCCCAACCCATGGGGGGGAGTTGTCACTCATGGGTCTCATCCCTGACCCATAGAGGGCTCATTCACTGGTGCTGTTCCCAACCCATGGGGGTGGGAGTTGTCACTCACCGGTCTCATCCCTGACCCATAGAGGGCTCATTCACTGGTGCTGTTCCCAACCCATGGGGGCGGGAGTTGTCACTCACTGGTCTCGTCCCTGACCCATAGGGGGATCATTCACTGGTGCTGTTCCCAACCCATGGGGGGGAGTTGTCACTCACCGGTCTCATCCCTGACCCATAGGGGCCCATTCACTGGTGCTGTTCCCAACCCATGGGGGGGAGTTGTCACTCACGGGTCTCGTCCCTGACCCATAGGGGGCTCATTCACAGCTGCCGTTCCCGGCCCACAGGGGGTTGTCACTCACCGGTGCCATTCAGCCTCTCGGCCAGCTCTCCGGCACAGATGGTGTTCATCAGTTTGGTGCAGTTGTAGGTGTCGTTGAATCTCTGTCTCTCCATGTTCTTCCCGTACAGGTTGCTGACGTCTATGTACCCTTTATTGTGCATGAAGGAACCCAGGAAGACGATGCGGCTCGGCGCCGAGCGTTTCATGAAATCTGCGGGGAAGGATGAACACGGATGGTTACGCTCTGTGCATGGAGCCGCCCTGTCACTATACGGCATGAATATCCTAGACACGTGCGATTCGTTTCGTTACGAATCGAAATTCGTACGAATTTTCCTGAAGTTCGTAGATTCGGAAGCATCCGAAATCCGAATGACAGTTTCCGAATTTATATCCGAAATACGAAATTCCGTTAACGAATTTCGGATCCGAATTTCTTTGAAACGGGAACTAATATTACCCCTGTAACTGAAGTTGAACAACATGACAAGATTTTTTTTAAAGTCCGAAATACGAAATTCCGATACGGAATCCGTTAACGGAATTCGTATTTCGTTTTGGTTGACCAATCAGAGGTTCTCTTCTGCTGCTGAGAGTCGCATTACAATACACAGGCAGGAAATACGAAATTCCGTTGACGTATTTTCGTTCCGTTACGAACATTCGTTATATTGAAGGTAAAAAGCAAAGTACATTTATATTGGAGCTGATGGTAGTTTTTTTTTTAAGTCCGAAATACGAAATTCGGATGCGGAATCCGTTAACGGAATTCGTATTTCGGATACAAAAACAACGACCACATCGACTCCAATATTAACAAAGGTATTTTTGCTTTTTAACTTCATCATAACGAATGTTCGTAAAGTTACGAAAATGTGCCGATACTAACGGAAATTCGTACGAATCCGAATTGAGTTTCGGATACGAAATAATGGATATTACGAAACGGAACAAATTTTTTGACGGCGCACAAGTCTACTCAGTAGATCGGGAAGTGAGAGAACACATACCGGCGTTCGCTCACCTCTTGATCCTGTCACAGCCCTCTGTGGGGGGGGGGGGGGGGGTGGAGGGGCTGGATTCGTACGAATCCGCATTGAGTTTCGGATACGAATTACGAAATAACGGATATTCCGAAACGGAGCGAAACCAAACGGAACAAATTTTTTTACGGCGCACAAGTCTAGAATATCCCGGCCAACGCCACTGAGTACATAAACCCGATCCATCGACGTCTCTATTCCTTCTCTGTTGGGAATGAATACCTCCGGCAGCGTATCAGGTCTACTCTCTTCCTTGCTGTCCCCTATTTCTCTGCGGACCATCACTGCACTACCTAGCTGTTGGTAGATCTGAAGGACATTGCGTGTGGTCAGATTAGACTCCAGGCCTCAGGGGGACCCATGTTACCTTCTACTGCCAACCCACGTTGAGATAGAAGAGAGACACGCCCAGGGGGGCCGGCAGGACTTACCCACGAGAAGGTTGGTGAGCAGGAAGGGGCCCAGGTGGTTGGTGGCAAACGTGATCTCCAGTCCCTCTGATGTCATGGAGTGCGGCATTCCTGGAAAGGGAAATCAGTCTTATTTAGGAATAATATTAGAACATTCTGTTCAGAGATGTGCGTCCCCCCACAACACATATCAGGTCACGGCCTAATACTGCCCCCAGGGGGCAGTCTATGGAGAGAAGTGCCACACTCAGGGGGCAGTCTATGGAGAGAAGTGCCCCACCCAGGGGGACAGTCTATGGAGAGAAGTGCCACGCCCAGGGGGCAGTCTATGGAGAGAAGTGCCACACACAGGGGGCGGTCTATGGAGAGAAGTGCCCCACACCCAGGGGGCAGTCTATGGAGAGAAGTGCCCCACACCCAGGGGGCAGTCTATGGAGAGAAGTGCCCCACACCCAGGGGG